GGGGGGAGTAGGGTGGTGGGCAGCTACCATTTTAGACATTAATTATAATCAAGAAGAGGAACAAAAAAAGCAGTCAGGTTTTGGGCTGACAGAAGCAGCCTGAAATCTTTGGCAAAGCTCTTCTAATGTAATCTTTGGTGTGACTTGTACCTGGGGGCTATGTAAATGCAAGGCAAAAAAAAAGAAAATATGTTCTGCATTGACAATGCATTCCGTTAGTGATGGATTTAATTATCAAAATGACTAATTATTCCATTAAGGTAAGTGCTCAGCTAGGTGATACTTGCAAAATTAGAAATATAATAACTTACATGCAGTACATTGCCAAGAAATTAAGACATTTATCAAGTTTACTGGGAGGATTAATGTGGCATTTTAGCTGCCGTTAGCACAAGAGACAAATTCAATTAACTGAAAGTGAGAAGATGTCAACCGTGCTAAGATCCAAGCAGAGAGTGGAGCGTGGGGAGATGGGGAAGACAGTGATGAGGAAGAAGAGGAAATGATCACTTACCACGGCACCAACGCCGTAGGTGGCTGCTGGAGCAAGTGTGTGGTGGTAGGGGTCTGCAGCATAAACTCGTCCGTAACTGTAAAGAAAATAAAGTTAAAAGATTAATGGGAAAAAAAAAAAGTTAAAAACAGATATTACCAATATTTACAAAATGATTGTAATAAAATATTCCATTCTATCCAAATTCATTACAAATAAACTTACTTTGCAGTTTCAAAAGCAATATCCTTTGGGAAATGTTCAGGTTACAAATGACAACAAATGTGTAATTAGCTTTACTAGACTATTAAGAATCAGCATCAGGCTAAAGAGAGTGGCCATAGAACAATGGCAGGCACTTGGCTTTAAGGAACATGCTTATTGCACATTCCTGGTCCTTCTATAGAAGAGACAGAGCGTCATCCTAAGCCATGATACTTGCACAGCTGAAGTCTCAATTTTCAGGCCAAGTTCCTGCTACAACCAGGCAAAGACAGTGATGTGAAAATCAGATTTTTGTCATTTCTCCCCATACAAAATTCTTATAGTTGAAACTACTTCAAAGCTTCTTTACAAGTACACCTTGTTGATTTGCTGGGCCAGTCCTCCTCTTCACCTTGAAATACATAGCCTTGCTTCACAGTCCGAGTCTGAATGCAGTTACCATTACTGAGATGGACATGTCACCTAGATACAGGTTTCACTGAATATGTCTAACATTTTTTCTGTAATCAAAGAATTTCCACTTGATGTCAGGTGTCACATATAACAACAAAAGCAGTCCTGAAAATAGAGTGGTGTCTTACAAACGAGGGCTGATGTAGTTAAACGAGTTAAATTTTAATAATGCTCATGATATCTCTCCGAAAAAATCTTTATTTTTTAGACTTATGTGAACAATAACAGCAAACTGATCTCACTCTGTTTAACTACCTTATTTTTCAGATACAAATACAAACTTACAATGTTGTTGAAAGGAGGACAGTTGTCCTATTTTATTATCATGTATTTGCTCCTCCACAAGCGCAACCTGATTAGCCAATTCCTAGATAATCAGCTGAGGGAAAGCTGAGAAAGGAATGTTTCCATAGCATATGCAATCCTTCACCACCCGCTACTGCAGGTCCTGGATGTGAGGTTGAGAAGATGTCCAAATCATCTGAGCTAGACATTCCTACCTACCCAGTGACACCTTCAAGGAAGGAGCAGAAATTACAAGAGGCAAGACAGTTGTCTTCACTGCGTTTCACTGAGCAAACATTTGCAAAAGTATGAGGGACTCATTGTGTATGGAAATCCCAGTAAACCACCTCCTGGGATGACCACACCATCTAAAGGCAAAAGGGTTCAGCACTGAAAAGGCAGAGACTTTACATAAATGTCTCTTTCTCTCTCACCAAGCCTGGGTCACAGATTTGCAGAAGTTATATGCTTTCCCTTTTCCAAGAATATATAACCAAACATCTTGATGCAAAAAAGTAGAAAAAAGTTCAGTAAGTACAAACTTCAAAGTGTACGTTGGGTGATATTCAGTATTGTGAATAAGTAATTTTTTTCAGCAACAGTCTGGCATTTTGAGCAAATGTAAAGTGTACCTGTGTTCTTACAAAGTGTTCTATGGCAAAATCTGGATGTTTCACTACAAAGTACAACCATAGTAGCCGAATGCCTTCAGTTGTACTGTCTTGTTTACTCAGTAGATTCAACTTTCTGTTAAGGGATACTACATCAAAAAGGAGTCAATCTATTAAAACTATGAAAGTACCACAAGTTCATGAATGTGGGCTCTATATGCTATGTTTACTTTAGATTTGGGCAGAGAGGTCCTCATAGCTATCAAAGATACACATGAATATCCAAGGGACGCAGTGCCTTGGGCAATCACCTTCTACCTCATGGTCTTAAACTCAGAAAAAAATGTGTAAAAGATGTGTATAAAACACATTAATTCCTCTTTTGCATCCAATATATTGAGGAGTGAAGGATTAAATTTATATATCAATTCCATTTAAATATTTGGTATCCATGAATATCTGTATTTGGAAATTATCCAAGGCAGATAACAACAAAGAAACCAGGCAGTTCCCAGTGAAAAAAATGGAAGGAAGAATAGCTCAGATCAGCCCATGTTGGGTAAATGACATGTGGTGATCCTTTGCGTTGGAACGGGGGCATAAGAGTTCTTCAAGCAGGTGACCCTGTACTTTGGAGCCTCTTTGGTTGGAAGAACTTCCATAAACCTCAGCCTTGGTAACCTTCTGCATTAGGATGCAGACATTATAATATTTAGAGATTTAAAATACTTAGCTTTGAAAGTAGTCATAACAGAATCTTGTATGTCTTGTTCATCTACATTGAAGTGAAGACAACACCTTATTTTCCTCTGTATGCCCATTTTTAAAGTCTGAGAATCCATTTTAAACATCATTATAATTTTAATTCTCTCAAGCCAAATCTCATTCAAACAGTAAGAAAACATCTAGAAAGGGAAAATGATTAATTTAAAGCTAGACTTGTTTCCAGCACTATAAATTTTCCTCATGTCCCTCGTAACATGGTGGAGGAATTGCATGTACTATTATTATACATGCTTTCATGTCATGACTATTATTTGGGCAATGGGAATCGGTATATTTTCAGGTGTTTTTTTTTTTCTGATTAACTGGTATTACTACAATACTGCGCAAGGACTGTAAATTTAGATCTATAAGAATTACATTAGTTTTGGTCTAGTGTAAACCACTAACTACAGTGGGACTCTGTAAGCTTTATGTTTCCACTGCATTGATCCCTTCCCTGCAGTAGGGCTGCATTTTAACTCCATACCGCATCCCATTGCTGCAGGATGCCTGAGTATGTCACAGTGCCCCAACAAAACTGAAACTCTAATGGGTCACCCATGGCAGTGGATTTAGAGGCCTAAATGCAAGGGCCACTTGTAAGGAAGGAACAAGCCTGGATACAGAGTGCTCAGGCATTCTTAAATTATTAACCCAACCACTGAAGTAACTAGCAAGTTTACAATGCTGATTTAATATGTTGCTAATAGTATTACATCAATGTTTTAGAGAAATCTGGACAACAGAGGAAAATATGGATTAAAAAAATTAAGCAATTTCAAAAGAAAGAAAAAAAATGACTGTTTCAACCCAGTATTGACTGCTGAGTACATTTTTATTACTATTTTGCCAATGTAGTAATAACTTATTGTCAGTGTTTTACATTATTTTTTTCATCCTACGGTGTAAACCATATTTCTTCCTTAAAACAAGAGTGGCGAAGCAATCTTAATGTGAAAACTAAGACCTACGTCAATGCTTGCTCCTTAAAAAGAATGTTTTACATTTATATTATGATAATGCTGAAGTTTGTACTGTGATATTAACATAAAAATGATATTTCAGAATTAGCAACACATATTCTTGTTAAAATAAGAAACACTTCTTTCTTTTCTTTTACAATATATTGAAATTTCACTTGAACAAATGTGTGCAATGTAAACATAAATTAAAATAAAATGTAAAAGGCATTCGTCCAAATCTTCTGTAAAAGAACATAAAGTATATAAAATTAATCGCAAAATTCTCATTCTTGCACCCTCTGAAATACACTGGACATATGTCAGCACAAACATGGAAGAATATATTTCCAAAAGGGGACAGAATACACGCTCAGATATTATCTGGGAAAAAAATGCATTGAAATTCCTCTGTGATGAATAGACTTTTTTTTTCTCCTCAGGGTGACCTCTACCTTCAGAATATGATGGTTTTATTATGATTAATAAATTTCATTTCCACAGAGGAAAGGAACAGTGTCAGCTTAAACTTAAAGCAAGTGGGTTTCTTTTTAAATGCTAATTTTTAAACACGCCCTTGCATGACACCAAATTTAGAAGCTCAGAAGGTTAGCAGAATAGATTCTGATTTCTATGCTGAAAATAGTAAGAAGGATTTAAACTATATTGTCACACTGAAAATCAGTAAGCTACTTCAGTCAGATAGTCATTGGTTCATTTATTCACTATTATGCCAGCATGCTTATTTCTCATTAAAATTAGTGGCATTTAAATGCTTTGTGATAATTTAGACTGGAAATAATCATTCTAGGTAAACAATTTACTAAAATTTAGGGCATGCAAATGGCAAAATATTTTGAATAAATTAATAGTCAATGTGATTTTCAGTGTATTTTACAGAATGTTAAATCAGTGTATCAAAACCAATATGTGCACTTATAAATTCTTGTCTAAGAACACATCTGATGAGCAATTTTGATGCACCACTAATTAGAACAAGGTAAGTTCCACTATTTTCCAGTATATCTGGAACAAGTGTTCACAACAGGAAAAAAAATGTTTGCTAGCATTGGGAACAAGTGTTCACAACATAACAGGAAAAAAAATGTTTGCTAGCATTTTGTTACCATACTGGCACTGGTTCTGAAGTAGTTGGACTAACATCTTACTGGGAAATAACTGAGGAAAAAAAAAATTTAAAAAAAAAAAAAAATCAGTGTAGCCACGCTAACATCTGTAAACGCAGCTGTAAACTATTCACCAAAAGCTCAGTGTATTGTAGGTTCTTCTGTACTCATGCTGTGTCTCAATTTCTTCAATCATTTTCCGTACAGGGTTTAAAATTGCTAACATACTATGTAAAAGCACCATTTGTCGTCCACTGCACAAATGAAAAAAAGAGGAGAATTAAAAATGGTAATTGGTTCTGAGATTTATTTTAGTAGGGCCCCTGAAATTGAATCTCTCTTTAAATCATCAATAGTAGGTATTGCTGAAGTCTCTAAAACCAGGGAAAGTATGTGCCTCTCTAATTGTAATTACCATTTTAGATTTTTAAGTTCTTTGGTACTATGACTGTATTTCCATACACATCTAGACAGAAAGCGGAGCTCTGATCCTGGAGACATTTGGAAGCTCCTTAATAATATACTTATTATAGGGTTTAATAGCCATACTAATAAGGAAGAGTTCACAGTATAGAATATGAACCAAGCTAATACATTTTCCTCAAGTGATTTGAGAACTACAGAGAAGAATTTTAAACAAGAATTTATTTTTCAGGACTTTGATACCTGTAT